TCTGGGCTGAAGCAGTTCGATGTGCAGTTTACCTATTGAACAGATGTCCAACAAAAAGCGTGAAGTATATGCGCCAAACGAAGCATGGAATGAACAGAAACCAGGAGTTGGACACCTCAAGATTTTTGGATGCATCGCATATGCCCACGTTCCTGAACAGACCAGAAAGAAGCTTGATGACAGAGGAGAAAAATGTATTTTCATTGGCTATGATAAAATAAGCAAAGCTTACAGATTATATAATCCTCTTACAAAGAAGATAATAATTTTAAGAGATGTCGAGTTCGATGAAGCAGACTATTGGAGATGGAGCAAAGAGGAAAAGAAAGTTGAAGGATTATTTTTTAAAGATGATGATCTTATCAATCAAGATGAACAAGCTGATGATCAAGGTCCTCAACAAAATGTATCATCGTCATCAAACAGCAGCAACGATGCCAGCAACATAATAGAAGATCCTGAAGTACCTCCCATAGAAGTTCGAAGATCCACAAGAGAGAGAAGAATGCCAGAAAGGTACAACGATTATGAACTAAATAATGTTTCACTTTTCTACTTACTTGTGAACAGTGATCCAATAACATACGAAGAAGCGGTTGAAGATGACAAATGGAGGAATGCAATGGATGAAGAAATTGTATCAATAGAAAGAAATGATACATGGGAGCTAACAAGACAACTAGAATGTCATAACCCAATTGGAGTAAAATGGGTTTACAAGACACAGACCAATAAAGAAGGAAAGGTCGATAAGCACAAAGCGAGGCTAGTTGTCAAAGGCTATAAGTAAAGACAAGGAATAGACTATGATGAAGTATTTGCTCCAATAGCAAGGATCGAGACCATCAGACTTCTCACAGCAGTTGCAGCACAAAAAGGATGGAAAATTTATCAAATGGATATGAAGTCAGCATTTCTAAATGGCTACCTAGAAGAAGAAGTTTATATTGAGCAACCACCTGGATACATTAAAAAGGGACATGAAGACAAAGTTTACCGATTGAATAAAGCACTATATGGTCTGAAGCAAGCCCCGAGAGCATGGAACACGAGGATTGATGAATATTTCCAAAGAAACGGGTTCATGAAGAGTCCATATGAGCATGCTTTATACACAAAGAAAAATGAAGACGGTGATATCATGATCGTGTGCTTATATGTGGACGACATGGTTTTCACAGGAAATAATCCAGGTATGTTCAATGATTTTAAGAAAGCTATGACTAAAGAATTTGAAATGACAGATATTGGAGAAATGTCATACTTTCTTGGAGTTGAAGTGAAGCAAATGCAAGAAGGAATATTTATATCACAAAAGAAGTATGCAGAAGAAATTTTAAGAAAATTCAGAATGGAAGATTACAAGCCGGTAGCCACTCCAGCAGAACCAGGAGTCAAATTAAGTGTGAATTCAACAAGAGAGCAAGTGAATCCGACGTTGTTTAAAAGCATCGTTGGAAGTCTAAGGTATCTGACTTTCACACGACCAGACATAACATACGCTGTGGGATTGGTAAGCAGATTCATGGAGAATCCGAAACAAGATCATTGGATTGCAGCAAAAAGAATACTCAGATATATCAAAGGTACAACAGGTCATGGCTTATTCTACACGTGATCAGAAAATTCGAAGCTGGTTGGTTATTCTGATAGTGATTATGGGGGAGACTTAGACGATCGGAAAAGCACAACTGGATATCTATTTCATATCGGCTCTGCAGCATTTTCATGGTCATCAAAGAAACAACAAACGGCAGCTCTTTCAACATGTGAAGCTGAATACATAGCCGCAACAACGTGCACTTGCCAAGCAATGTGGTTAAAGAATATTTTGCACGAGCTAAATTTGGTACAAGAAGAACCAATTACAATCTATGTCGACAACAAGTCTACAATTTCCCTTGCTTAGAATCCAGTCTCCCATAGCCGAAGCAAACATATTGATACAAAGTATCACTTTATACGAGAGCAGGTAAAGAACAAAAATGTGGAGCTAATTTACTGTAGAACTGAAGATCAACTAGCAGACATTTTCACAAAGCCATTGAGAACAAATATATTCAACCGACTCAAAGAAAAGCTTGGAATGAAAAATCGAGTTTGAGGGGGAGTGTTAAAGACAAACTCAATTATTAAAGAAGACAAATGTGGCAACATAAAGATGTGAAATCTTATCCAATCTTGAAACGTGGACCAATTTGGAGAAACCAACAAGAGCAAGATATTTTGAAAGTTTAGGCAGCATGCTATTGAAGCATTTCAACGTGGAGAAACTTCATGAATTATTAATATTATAATATAAGATAACAACAAAACATAAGGCAGCAAGAGGAATTGAGAATCATCCAGAGCAAGTCTTAGGCGGTTTAAGTCTCCTATAAATATGTGTGTTTTAGGTCCAAGTTGTGTGTGAGTAGAGAGAAAAAGAAAAACATACGAGAGAAAAAATAGAGAGATTTGAGAGAGCTTAGCAAAGCTTAAAATAGTGAGGTTGTGTTTGTAAACTAGCCGCAGCTAGTATTGCAGTATTGTAATATTGAGGTGGTGTCATTGTAACGTATTTTGTTTCGTATAAATAAAAAGTTCAAGTTATAAATTATCGTGAGCCCATCTACGCTTCCAACAAGCTATTCTTTTTTTTTCATTGCGTTTTCTACAAAAATTTGTCAATTATTTAATTTTTAAATTAAAAAATTATTTTTTTGTTTATTTAAATTTTGCACATCTCTAATTATATATTCTTATTACAAGTTTCATTTACATATATTTATTTATTATAGGTAAATTTAATTTTTACGAAAGATAGTCGAGGATATTTTGGATGAAAGTGTTGAGAACTTTTAATACTTTATAAATATTTTTAGATTTTAATTTTTTATATTTACAATTTATGCTTATATAATTTTAATTTTTTGAGTTTATAAATGTTAATTAATTTTTTAAAACAAATAGTGTATTATTTTTTAAAAACCCATGGATATTTTAATAATATTTTTTTAGAATTTTAATAAATTATTAATTTCTTACTTTTTACTTAAAAATTAATTAAATCGTCAAACTTTCAATAAAAATAAATTATACTCTTGAACTCGATTAATAAATTAATTAAATCATCAAAATTAGCTAGAAAATTTAATTCAACGTCTCTTTCATTCACACGTAAACTCTCATATTAATACAGTGAATCATCACATCAATACCATAACTATTAACGTGATCAATAGATGAATTTGATAAAATTGAATGTGTTCAAAAAACATAATTAATACAATTAAAAATAAAAGATAAAATTACTAATTTAAATTTGCTTTATGAACAAAATATACCTTAAAACCTATTTAAAATGTAGTCAAATTATCAAGTTTAGCAAACTAACATAGATTACCTGACAGTCGATACGTATAGCTGCAGGTGGAAATTATTTGACTTCTACCCCGTGCAGTAGATAGAGACGGAGGTGGTGGTGGAGGAATTTGCTTCTCTGTTGAATCAAGAGAGCTATTACGTAGGGATGGGTATGGGTCGGGTTAGATCGGGTTTTTGATCCACCCGACTAGACCCGAGAACAAGGAGTCCTCCACCCGAAACCTGACCCGACCAAAACAAGATTTCACCCGACCTGAACCCGACCCGATATATAACTTAAAAACTCGACCCGACCTAAAATAATAAAAAAATATTATTTTTATTCAATAAAAACAATAATTTAATTGAAAAAATAATATATAGAGGAGTATTATTGTAATTATTCCTAAATATATAAGGTAAAATTATATATTTTTTTCGGGTCGGGTATGATATTTTCACCATAAACCCGATCCCGACCTGACCCAAACATCACATCTAAAAAAACCCAATCCGAACCCGAATTTTTTAAAAAACTCGACATGATCGGGTTGGATCGGGTCGAAACCTGTCGGGTTTGGGTCTCATGCTCATCCCTAGCTATTAGATGAAGTCGATGAAGAAAGTCTCGACAGTTTCGGGCTCAGCTTCAAGATCTTGCTTATGATTGTTTTCTATTGTTCAAATTCCTCAAACTCTCACCTTCATTGTTACTCTCTTTTTTGAAGATTCAAACCAGAGAAATGATCTCATAATCTCATTCAAACCAGCCATATTAGCATGACCATGGAGGAGGATTTCCAAGGTGGCCATGCTACGTCACCTGGCACAATGGGTAAGTTTAAATGGTTTGATATAACATTTAAGTTTACTTGCGCTGAGCGTTTATCTGGTTTGCTACTATTTTCAAGAGGTGCATGTGGATATGGCTGGATTGTTCAACAATGGCTTGGGCTGCGGTTATTGCTTCGAAATGTGGTGTGATGGTGACCCCGAATTGTGCCTGCCCGGAACCATTACCGTGACAGCAATCTCTACTCCCCTAACTTTGCTTTGTCGAATGACAGGTGGGTGGTGCAATCCTCCTCTCCAACACTTCGACATGACCAAGCCAGCCTTCTTACAAATAGCTCGATATCGTGCCGGAATTGTGCCCATTTCGTTGAGAAGGTAAAGTTTAATTAAAACTAGCTATATTTTAAAACATTGATTGAGCTCATCTCAATAGTATTTGATTAAAAAAACAAGAGTCCCATGCATGAAGAAAAGAGGAATCAGGTTCACATCAATGGCCGCTCTTACTTCAACTTGGTCCTAATCACAAACGTCGGTGGTTCCGGATATGTCCATTCGATGTCAATCATGGGCTCTAAAAGGAGATGGCAAGCGATGTCAAGAAACTGGGGCCAAAACTGGCAGAACAACACCTACCTCGATGGCCAAAGCCTGTCCTACCAAGTCACCGCAAGCAATGGTAAGACTCTTACAAGCTACAACTTGGTCCCGGAGAATTGGCAATTCGGACAAACATTCGATGATAGTCAGTCTTAAGAGAGTTTCAGAATGCAATTGCCATTGTTAAGAGTTCAAGAGAAGTTGGGTCTCAAGTGGCTGTGTATTGCTGAGGTACATTAATGGAAGGCATTCGATTTCCAGAGAGAATAGTTATACATGGTGAATAACTTACAGTGCCAATGGCAACTTGAGTCATCTGACTTTACAAAAAACCATCCCTCCTGTCTTGTTCCTCAGCTTCCTTGTTAGCAACTTGAACAGATTTGAACCAAAGAAACGCCTGAATATTCGAATTCAGGTCATTACGATTCCGCATTCAAAACATTGATCTCAAATGAAGCAGGGAAACTCACCGAAGTGGGGATTCCAGTAAATGCAAAGAAACCAAGCAAGGGTGCATAGAAAATACTGTCTGAGTTCAAAACTCCAAACACAGGCCTTTGGTTAATATACTCGAAAATAGAACCGATCTGCAGGAAGAAGAGGAAAAAGAGTTAAGCCATCTTAATTTCAAGTGTCTCAAAAACATTATAGACTATAAGAACACGAAACATACGGCGGCAATGGCAGTTATCGCCGAGGCAAGCAAGTAAACAAAGAATGGAACCTCAAAACTCTGCTGTGCAGTGGAACCCTTCCCTCCTTCATCTTGAGCCCAAGGAGGGGGCTCGTCCGAATCTGGTCTCGCCCACGAAGGGAGACTTTCTTCGGACTTGCCGGAATCGGCAGAACCCTCAGTTGCATTAAACACAAGAAACCTACGAGATAACCTTTTGTTCTGATAAACATGAAAACATCCCTTGGCATGTTGATTCAAAATCCTGTCTCTAACGCCCAAAAAACCACGGACTAAAGTCGAATTGCATGGAGACAATAATGTTGCAACCATCATGTTTATTATTTCGTTTTTTCTTTTCCTGCTGGAGACAAACATAAGATCGATAATAACAACATAAACATAGTTAATAGAGATGTTTTATAGGGGCAAGCAAATAATCCAGTTCAGAAAGTTTGAAATAGCAAAGTAATGCAGCTGCAGCTCAAAATCTGATGACTGCAGTGGAAATGAATGTTGAATTTAAGGGTTTAGAAAATTACCTTAATTCCCTGGTGTGTCGGGAACTTGAAACCAAGAGAAGGATTGGGTAATAGACAGGAGGGTGGGGAGAAGATAGTTGGATAGGATGTGTGAAGATGGTGGAGAGTGGTCGGGAATTTTTTATATAATTATTATATAAATAATTAGGGTAAATTACATATTTAACAATACATCTATTACTTAGTTTCTGTTTTGATCGTTCAACTATTATTTGTTTCAAAATCATAATTAGCATTACGTTTTGATTCTATTTTAGTCACTCGTTAAAATATTAACAGTGATATTGACATGTTAGCATAAGATAATACCAAGTCAATATTAAAAATAATATGTCAGCATCATCATTAAACTTTAACTCTAGGTGACCAAATAAAATCAAAAAATAATGTTATAAAGATTTTAAAAAATAATAGTTGATTGGCCGAAATAGAAACTAATGTTATAAAGATTTTAAAAAATAATAGTTGATTGGCCGAAATAGAAACTATGTAATAAATGGGTGGCCATGTAGTTAGTTTACTCAATAAAATACATAGGTGCGTCTAACTGTTAACAAAAGTTTAGGGTTTCGTTGCACTACACTCGCCCAAGTATAAAAGCTTAATTTTTTCCCTAGTCTTCTCACAAACCAAAGCCTAGTTATTTAGCCGGCGGAAGCAAAGAGCCTCCCTAATCTACACTTCTTCCTCTAATCATGGTCGGATCTTCATTTAATCTCCAGTTTGGCCTCTGGTTCTTTATCAAAACTCGGTCTTTTTCACAAATTTTATCACTCTGATTGTATCTTTATTGTCTTGTAGACTTTCAAACGTAGGAATGGTGGCCGTAACAAGCATGGCCGTGGCCTGGCCGTGGCCATGTCAAATTCATCCGTTGCTCTAACTGTGGAAAATGCTGTCCCAAGGTATTTCTCATCTATATTTTTCTTAGCCCAGACTTCGGATTTTTCCTTTAAATTTATGCTGATTTTTTTTTTCAATTTTTTTCATTGTTTGGAACATAAAAGGATAAGTCGATCAAGAGGTTTCTTGTGAGAAACATTTTGGAACAAGCTGCTGTGAGGGATGTTCAGGAAGCCTGCGTTTATGACTGTAATTTTCGTTTAATTTCTCAATTATGATCCGACTTCCTCGTTTTATTGCTTATGTTGAAATCATTGTTTGGTTAATTCTGTCTAGCTTACACTCTGCCGAAGCTGTATGTGAAGATGCAATACTGTGTTTCGTGTGCGATCCATTCCCGCGTTGTGAGAGTCCGATCCCGCACTGACAGGAGGAACCGTGACCCACCCCAGCGCTTCATCAGACGCAGGGTACGTTTCTTTTATTACCAGCAATTTGATGATTCTCATATGCTGATTAGGAGCATTTGAATGATATATGTTTTGATGTGAATGAATTATGCTTGTTCATGCATTGCTTATTGTTTGAAGGTATGATTTTGCCACCGTTTGGTGCAGTGTTAATGTAATTTCAGCTATTGAAAACCTTTGTCAATTTGTGTTGTAAACGTGTTGAACATGGATAACATGCCTAAGACACGGTTAATAGCTTAAAACATTATTATTTAACATGGATTATGCTTGTCGTAAATGTGAAGACACATTCAATTTTTGTCTTATAATGATATTAAATAAGTTTTATGAGTCTCTTGTGGTAGCTTATTGATTCATTATGGGATGGAAAGTATGCCTTAGAATTAACGTAAACGATACTTGGGGATCATCAATAGGGATAATAGAAGAATTTAAATACACCTGAAACTTGGAAACCCCCTACATCGAAGGTTGTAATTGGTGGGCGCATCACTTGGTGATGGTTTTCATCTCTTTATGGACCAGTCTGCTCCTTTGGCTGAAACTTGAGGTGCTTTAGGTATGAACTGGCCCCTCATATCTAATGTCCATCTGATCACTTTGTCAGTTGCCTTTTCCGGTAGCATGCTGATCATTATAGGATGGAAAATGTCTTTGTATGATGCATGACAGTTATCTGTATGTGTAAAGAATTTTAGCAGACTCCTGAATTGAATTATTTGCATCATTTGTAGAAGATATTTTATCTTATAAAATATTTAATAATGCTTTTGCCAAGACATTTACTTTCTACGTACACATGTATTGTTGATTGTCTGAGTGTCATTGCTTTATTTTCCAATGTAGCCATGAATTTCACTAATCGAACAGAAATAATTGTTATTGCTGTAATCTGCAATACTCGTTACCTTTTGTTTGTAATGCAAATAGTTTTGTTTTCATGTTCCTTGAAAATTTTCCATATTAAGAAAGCTTACATTGATTGTGTGTTTGATTTTAATTCTGTTAGGATGACATGCCAAAGCCAGGGCAGCCTGGTCAAGCACCACGTCCTGGTGTTGCCGTTCCTCCTCGTCCTTAAGGCGTATGAAGCCTAAGATGAATGTCTATATTTTATTTTGCTTTAAAATGTCTGCTTAATTTTAAGAACATGAAAATGTGCAGAAAAGTTTTGATTACTTAAAAGTTTAATAGCCATTTTGATACTATTTATTATTTCTGTAAGCCATGATGGCTGAGAATGCTAGTTGATATCTCATAAATAGCACATGCTTAGCCAAACTTACTTTTCATATAATGTTGCTGGCTCTTTTAGATCATTCTAATTAATTTTTCATAATTACTGCTTCTACTATTAAGTTTGGGTTCTGTTCGTAGTCCTTCGCATAAAAACAAATTGAGTTTTATTTTTGTTTCTAGTATTCTAGAGTTCTAAGGTACTGGACACTATTTACAACACTTCAAGAAGCAGGAACTCGGGTGGTATTTGGCTTCTTAGTAACAACAGCCAAACCTCCATATGTGTCTACCTTCATGAATAGGCTAAATATCGGAGAGAACCACCGTGCTGGGATTGAAAATTGTATATGCCACAATCATGAGAATCAAATCTAGCACTGAATGATGCCACTGAAGATTCCTTAAGATCTTTGTTCTGCAACAAATAGAGATAAGCAATGGGTTGACAACTGAAATTCAAGCAAAGGCTGAATCATTGATTAAATCAAACTATCCTGGGATGATACAGGAGGCTGTACTGCGTTGCTGGCAACTGACATTGATTATTTAACAACAGAGGTTATTGTCCCCGGAAAGGGTGGAACGTTGCACATTTTGATCAAGTTTACATCTAAGACCATTCCTCACCTGCCACGAATCTTTAATTGAGACACTGGTGCTAGATTCAAGACCTCCCACTTAGCTATTGCTGCTTTTGAGCATTTATTCCACAAAGCAACAATCAAGCGATTGCTGGACAAATGACCTGCCCGAACCTGCAAACCAAGCTAAACTAGAGTTTAATGATGTGATGCGCTATACGGTTCATAATTAACTTTTTGGTTAACTATTGCCACATCTGAGGATTGTCATCGTGTCTGTTGTTCTCTGTAATGCAAATTTGCTACCTTTGTCGTTAGATAAGGTTCACAGAAGTCATCCACTTTACGTACTTAAAACAAACTGGAAGGTCACCTGAAGACAGCTATCTTCTCCAGCAACATGAACTTTCCTTGAACCCTAAGAGAGTCTGCATAACGAAATAAAATACTATCTACTTAGTAGCCCTAATATATGAGTTGATAACTATATACAAGAAAGGGGGAAAAAGAATTAAGGAATTCCACTTCCACCTTGGTTTACAGCAATAACCTCCTTATTGCTTATAATCTCAAAGGTTTCAGCGATCATGTTTCTTACATCACAACCAATCAAAAGGGGAGCCTGCACACATCAACGACAAAATTTTCAGCCAACTAAAGTATTCATAAGGCCGTAAGTAGATGTAGTTTTCACTATCGATCATACAACAACACTCGGAAGTAAGTATTGAAAAGTTTACTTACAGGACACAAGACACAACAAATAACTAGAGTTGCACCATTATATCTTCTCAGAAAATATCTAAATTGAAATCTAGGCTTGGCAGTTAAACTACTGATGTCTGAACACGGAAAAGCAAGCTCACGGATATAAGTAGTTTACATGAACCAAGTATTTAAGATTATTTATCAATTCCCAGCATATATTGTGTTTACTTAACATTAATAAGAAAGACTCGATAGAAAACATAAAATGACTATAATACTCAAAGAAAAATTAGGAAAGAAACGAAAAAGAAGACCTTCATCAAAGCCCAAATGCTAAAATGAGAACGGTATCAGGATGCCGACTTCCAACATATCAGGATCTGCCCGAAAAGGATTACAATTGAGAGTTGAATAGCTGCAGCTTGACACAAGAATATTAACAACTTTAAGCGGAAAAGGACATTTTTACCATTCCATCCTCCAGGTCCAGCATCCCACTTGTTATTCAAATCGGCTATTGTAGTCATGCTAACCAACATGGGGAAAATGAAAATACATCACTTGTTGGAAGAAATAAAGGATGAGCAGAAAAGCTTGATTTCAATCAAACACACAATGGACAAATGTAGAAGGATGATGCTCTTATCAAACTTGGGATGCTAGAAAGTAAAAGGAAGTTTCTCCTATCAAACTCTCACTTCATTTATTCCCAAATTAAATGCTCTAATTGTTTCCATGTTTCTCATTAACCTCTGTAGTCGGCTTAGTTTTTTGCTGACCAACAAACATTATTCCTTTAGCGGACCACGAAACATTATCCATTCATTAATTTCTAGTTTTCACAGGGTTGACTCTCATAGTGAAGGTGATGCTAATTGGAAGCTAAAAGGATAGGTGAATTCCCCAAGAAAAGGATCGGTGGACATCTTATAAGAATATTATTGAGTTGCAGCAAGTGTAGTGACAAATTCAAAGAAACATCCAGAGCAACTAAAATAGCCCAGCTAAGGATTTACCTAAACAGTTTATTGTACTTCCAGCATGTTGACCAATGGTGCAAATAATAATGATTATGATGATGATAATTCGTTACACCACTTGACCACAGTTCACACCAGTCAAGAATTCTAACCTCACCCATGTATCATTAATGTCATCTGTCGTACGCCAGCTATTTCCAACTCCACAAGCCCACAAGGCAGGGTCTTCAACGCCCCTGTCAATGAGTGATGGTCAATCTTAAGTTCGTGGTG